ACAATGGATCTACTAATTGCACACAGGTGAATGTAAGTATTGTTTAAAGGTGGATGACCACCATACAGAACTATGCTCTTATATTGATAAGGTCCCAGAGAACGCAATTGTTGGCGAGAGTTGTGTGGTTACATGTCTTGTATGTGGCTGCTTCTTTAGAGACTCACGTTGTGCTAATTGTGGCATAACCCTAGGACGTGCACTTCTCAAGGATTGTTTTATATGTGGGAAGCGAGGTGAACACATGGAATTTGAGTGCCCGGAACTCGAGCCGAATTCTGATTTTACTTTCGACCCTTATTCTCGTTCTTTTTTGGTCGATATTTGCCCTTAATTGTACTCTAGAGTTGAAGCAAAGAAGAAAGAAGTGCTTTTTTATGTTGTTTGCCATAAATGTCATGCATCTTATCATTTTGATGTCAACATCGTGTATTGTTTTTATCGCAAATGAATTGCAATTTGCATCACATGGTCTATTATATTCTTATGCTTGAACTAGTTTTTATCTTATGATTTTGTTTTTCTCTTATGGGGTTAGTATACTTTATTTTAATTTGAAGACTTGCTAAACAACTAGGCATGAATGACCACGATTTGAATTGAATGATGGCTTGTTAAAATAACAAATGTAAAATGGAAAAGTTTAGTAATATATATTATAATGAGTTTTCACATCCGTGGTTTATAACACTTTACAATGAGTTAACTGTCGAAGAGACTAGGCTGGCTACCTTCCCCATATTATCCTAAGAAGAATAAGGATCGAGTTGAAATACATTCAAAGATATTAATAGTTGTAATAGAAGACAAGTCAAATAATAATAAAATCGGACACATAGAAAAAGGGAAGGCGGGGCCAAGTGGTTGCAGTGTCATGCATGCATATGATATAAGGGCCAAGTGATGTATCGACAACCTCTGAACTACAGTAAGCTTAAAACATTATGGAGCAGAGCAAGCTTCTGGAGCATGCCACAACCATATACCTACACAGTGCCACTGCCAAAGCATTAGCTTAAAAAATGCCAAGAAATTTAACGATTCAATTTCTTCTATCTAGGTCTCCAGGAATGCTTTTTTTGTTCTGCAGTTTAATCATGTCATAATTGGTGACCTAGTTGTTATCGTACGATATATAGCCAATTACTATAAGCTTATGGCTCGCATAAAGGACTAGGTGTTTGTTGAATTCATTCATTCTCGTTAGCTATCATATGTAAATGAGATCGAAACGACGACATTTTGGACCAATATGTCAATGATAAATTGTGAAAGTTCCCTCACTCAACTCTTTCGTGAAGGAAAAGGTAAACAACAAATGTCATATCCTACTATAATAATAGAAAAATGTTTTGCTCCTTATTAATTAGGGATATCTCTAAATCCGATGATCCCAATTCCTTAATTCATTAATTAATCAAATCAAATATTGATTAGAGTTTATCAAATCCAACATTTGTATTTGATTTAAAAAGGATAAAAAAACAAATAAATTATGTTGTCGTGTTGTTAGAAATGTGTGCATACAGCTTACCAATTCTTTAATTTGGTGTAGATTTCATCTTATTTTCTCCTATATATTTCTTTTCTAAACAACCTTGTGCAAGACGATAATACTTAATAAAATTAAAAATTTTACACAGGTGGATGGTGTGGGCACAAAAAACCTCGCTTTTATCTGTGACAACACAGTCTTTGTTGGTGTCGATGCGAGGGGTACAGATCCTAACACTAACGCATGTATCATAACTGAAAAAGGAAAAAAATTATTCAAAATCAAGTACAACATACTTGCAACCATGGCAGGAAATTCCACTCTATGTAAAGAAATGTTAAATCATGTGAAAAACACAATGGAAATATATGGAGTAAATGGAGACATCCATGTTGCAGCAGAATTAGCCCGTGCATATATCCAAAGATGGCAATCAGAGGCTGGAAAGAAATTTGATGGGTCTGCTCTCATAGTTGGATGGAAGAACAATAATGAGAGCTTTCATCCTTATATATATGGCGTCAATGATCAAGAATTTGCGCATACATCCACTAATTACGAAGCATATACAAATGGAACAGGCGGAGAATATGCTTTTCCATATTATAAGAATCACAAGAAAGGCAACAGTAGAGAAGAAATGTTAGAACTTATGAAAGAGGCTTTATTATATGCAGCAATTTGGGATCGAAGGAGTGGTGGTATTCTGCGCGTGGCTGAGGTGAGACCATTTGGCTGTAATAAGGTTTATTCCCAACGAGTTCTAGAGGTGTTGTTTAATCATTACGATGCTATGGCTAACTATCTTTCACATTCGTTGTTCTCTCTCTGGTACAATTGTGATCATGAATATACTTGTGTGCATAATGAGAAAGTGGAGAAAGTATTGGAAAAAGAACTTCGAGATTATTATTACAGTGTTGTCGTGGGGAAAAATAGGAAATTCGTTGTGCGACTCCTACATTTTAAGTGCCCAGTTTATGGAAAATTTGAGCAACTGAAAGAGTCGTGTACATTTTGGGTTCGAAATTTTGAAATACATTCACAACCGAAACCGCAACATCTTTATGACTGCGATGTGCCTCGTGAAGTTCGAGATCTACCATGGATTATACTTAAAGGGTTTGATTCTCCTATTGTATTTGGTGAAGCAACACAGAATTTGGTGAAATTATTACGAGACGTGTAGCACCTGGTTTGTGGATTGTTACACTACGTATTATTGGTTCCGAAAGTTTAAAATACTCAAACTGTTAAATTGTTTTGGACACCCAGAACCTCTAACCCCTTAATTTATTTTATTTGTTTTCTTTTCGCTTTAATCATTGGACCTACACCTCAGTTCGTTGAGAAGAATCCTTGAGTTTTTCAACTGATGTGCATGTACTTGGAATTAAGTTTATCCATCCATATACTGTGCTTAAGTATAGAAGCTTTATATATTAATTTTTCGTTTGGAGAAAGAGAAAGCAGAATGACTTTTAATTATGTTGGGTATTAGTATGAACCCGATCTGTGTTGCAAATATTTGGCTTTATTTGTGAAACTAATTTTATTGCTTTGAATGCGTTTGTCCCATAATGGACTTCACTTTTTCTTTCCTTACCTTCTGCATGCCAGAGAGAGGTATAAGTCCTCTTGCTTTTAAATTTCTACGTGGTGATTACCAACACTCATTCTTCTTCTCTTATTTATTTATTTATTCTTCTCCTATTCTTTTGCAAATCTGATGACTTCCAGCCTTGCGAACAATGTCATAAACTAGCTTAGCTTTAAATATCCAGAGGCCAATTCAACTGCTCCTGCAACTCCTGCAACTCCTGCAGTTTCAGTAAGAGAATGTGGGAATAATAAATAAATAAAGTTGAATTAATTATCAGCTTCCTAATCACAGGGCGCCATATGTATCAATTTAAAATCACATATTTTCTCTTTTTTGGATATAATTTAAAGCCACATCTGAAACAACATTCAGTATCAACCTGAATTGGTTCAGATATAAACCCAGGACCTTTTCCTGAAGTTCCATAATCAATGTATGATCTTGTACATCGATCTTTAGCATGAGCCAAAGATTCAACGGTATGGATCTGGATTTATAGTGTGATGAATTTCACCCTGCAATGATAAATCCGGTAGTGAGCAGATAATACAAAGTAGTAAGTGTTCATGTATGATTAGTGTATAACTTTATAATGGTAACACTGAAAAAATAGTAAAGAGTCCAAAGACTCAAGACTCGGCAAGTGTATGAATTGGTGAGTGTGCATTGCATATTATGCATGCTTTTTGCTTTGCTATGTTAGAAAGAGTTATAAACAATCTCATCATAGAGTAGCAAGTTTGTGATGATATAGGACATTGTTCATAGAGTAGCAAGTTTGTGATGATATAGGACATTGTTCATAGAGTAGCAAGTTGGGAAATTAGAAAAGGAGATAATGAAGCGCATAAAATGGATCACACAACTATCTCAGAAGTCTGAACAAGATGCATATTATAATGAAGCCTGTGATTACATTAATCTGGGAATCCCCGTCCTTATAGTAACTGTGATAATCAATAGAAATTCGAATTCTTAGCCAAAACAAAACAAATGGCAACATTTTGATACTCAAACAAACAAAGGGCAACATTTGAAAACTAAATAAATTACCTCAAATTTTACTAAACCGAAATAACTTGCCTTTTCTTTAGGAAAAAAACAAGAGGAAAGGATGCCTGAATTTGTGGCTTACCTAATTAGCTTTGCATGTAGATTTGCTAAGTCAACTCATGAGTTTTTATTTAAAAAAATAGCCACAATTGATCCCCCCACTTTCAAAAATGTCAGTTTTATAAAACTTTCAAATATAGCCAAAAACTCACCTAAATAGACACAAATGCCCTTAAATAGTAAAATGTTCCAATATATTTTGAGTCTATTAATTAAGGTGAGTTTTTGGTTATTTTTGAAATTTTTTATAAAAACTGACATTAAAAGTTGGAGAAATTATAGAATAGTACGGATGTACCACGTCAGCGTATGATACTCCCATTTAAATTTTGACATGTGTCTATTTTTAAAAAATAATAATAATTACTTTATTACAACTGGACTTACTTAACTTTTATCTTTTAAAATAAAATTAGAAAAATAAAAAAGAAAGAAAGAAAGAATTTTCCAACAACCCTTCGTCCCCAACCGTACTATTCTATAATTTCTCCTGCTGTAGTTGAGAAAACCAAAATCCCAAGCCAAATCGGAAAATCAAAACTAGAAAGTAATGCCCTGCTTATTAAAGATGCGTGCATTGCGGTCTATTAGTTTTTAATGATAATTTATTATTTAATCAGGACTGAAATGGAAAAAATAATATTGATGAATATGGTCATAATATGGTCGGTTATTGATATATATATATATATATTAATGCCCTTCCTTCTTTATCTCACAATTAACCCTACACCCAAACCGCCAGTCGTTTTTTCTCTCACAACCGCAAAGCCAAACACCAAGCTCCACACACAGCCATGGACAACTTCTGCGGAAAAGACCTTTTCTTGCCAGATATTGTCCCCCTCAACCGTGATACGCCAATCCGTGCTGACGGTGACACCGAAGCGGAGGACGACAGCGGAAAGGGCCTTTGCTCGCCAAAGATGGTTCCCCTGGATCCCTATACGTCTCCACTTTTGCAACTTGGCTTTACAAATTGTATGTTTTTCCTTTAATTTAAGGGTTTGTCACGATGAATATCTACGTGGGCTTTAAATTTTATGTGTATGAAACATTATCTTTTTACAGTGATAATTATTTACTTTTTGGTACATGTAGTGGTAGGACAGGACGGTGATGATATATTAGGGCAAACTGTTTCCATGGAATTATTTGATAAATAGGTGCAAAGTGTTTGATGTCCAGTTTATATGATGCTGATTATTTAAAATATTGTAAATAAAAAATTAAAAAAAAACTCACGTGCTCTGTTTGCTTCCCCTTTTTTTTTTGTCCATGAATGAGGATGAACGATGATGATGATGAGGAATCTCTATGAAAGTAGTTTAGCCATTCCCTCTAGTGTTAAAGAGTTTATTAATCTTCACTGATAGTGAGTTGGTCGTAGTTTTTGCTTGCCCTAAGAAGAAAATTCATGAATCTGCCACTGTTTAGTAGAATATCCTAAATCAATTGGTTTGGAAATACTTTTAGAGGAAAATTACTTTTGAGTTTGTTGCTCCATTTTGGCATTATATTGATGTATTTGTTATTATTCAACTGATTTGTTGGGTTTTCACATCATCGCTTTTTGTTATATTGGTATTTGACAATGTAATTGCAAACAGGTAGCAAGGCTGATCTTGATTATATTCCTTTCGGCTGGGAACCTCCTGTTCCTCCTGGTATGCTTTTGATTTTAGAGACAGTAGAGAAAAGAAAAAAAAACCAATAGATTGCCTCCTCCCTCCTCCCACCTTTTCCCAACTCCTTTCCTCCCCTTCCACACTCAGGCATTTTCATTCAACCCTTGCATATGCAGCTTCTCTATGTTTCATCATAGCTTTCATTTTTTCGCTTCTCAATTATGACGTAATATCTATATATTTGTGCACAGGTGAATGTTTGTTTTGTTTAAAGGTGGATGAGCATCCTTCTTCAGCCTGCCCTTACAGGAAGCGTGTCCCAAAGAATGCAACAGTTGGCAGTGGTTGCGATATAGTTTGTTCGGCTTGTGAAAGACTCTGTGGAGGCAGCCGTTGTCACCAAGATGAAGCATATGCAATTTTCAAGGTGTGTTGTATTTGTGGGAAGATTGGTGAACACTGGCCTTCAATGTGCCCAAGTCCACTCCGCCAGAAAGATATTTCTTTCAATCGTGGCTTTAATAGCTATTATCCGGGTAATAAAGAAAGTCTGGCCTCTCAATAAGGTCTGAGGTTTGCTTTGTTTTCGGGTTTGTGAGAACTTTTGTCAATTGAAATAGTAGAGAACGGAGAGTTTCTGGGACTCTAAATTCAAAGCAAATATTTTTAAAACATTATATGTTAATTACTATTTAACGAATATGTATATTTTATTTTTTTAATAATGTTTTTGTTAAGTGAACTTCACAATTGAACTTCCTTATAAAATACTCATGATTTACAAGCTCTAATAATGAGCAAGAGATTTATGTTTGCAGATTTTCTTTTGCTCGTGATTTAAGAAAAAAATGACAACATTTTTCACATCATCTCATAGTTGCTAACATAATTATTGGATTACCATCACCTATTGCAATGGCTAATATATGTAAGTATGTTCCCATGGTTTCCCTTAGCCCTATGCCAAGGGCGAAAGTATATCCTCAACATTGAGATGAGTTACTTCCTGATAGCCTTTGCTTAAATGCTGTTTTTAGTAGTTGATGAGGATTTGGTTACCATGTTTTTGTTGCTTGTGGTGGTGCTAGTTGCAATTGTAGTTTTGAGTAATTGAGTAATTGTCATTCACAATACAATTTTCTGGCTAGGTTCCATAGAGATGTCCACCCTAGCATTTGACAATCTGGATTCAGATTCTCTTACATACAAAATTGCCAATTCTTATAAATCAGCAAGCATATATTCTAGTTTTTTTTTTCTTTTATTTATTTCCATTTCTTTTGATGCGTTGATGTAATTCGTAGGACAAGAATTGGAATTTTCAATATGTGGATTCTAATTCAATAATGTATGTACTCATGAAATCAAATCATCTGTTCTAGTCAATTTTGCTAAGTCCATATCTGCATGTGCATTGCCATCAATTCAGATTGTCTTCCTCTTCAATAAGATAAATTTTTTTAAATTTGATTTGTTTTTTATTTTTCGTCAGCAACAATGTATTATAAAATTTGAATGATCCATGAAATTTGAAGTTATGACTTTTTTTAACAAAACTTTGATGATGTGCTATTATAATTATAAAAGTGGAGAGCATTTTCTCACCATTTTAACCCAAAGTGTATCATCATCACCATTTTTAATATTTAACACGTATCTATATGCATAACCATAATTAATGGACACGTATCAAATATTAAAAAGAACAATGAGGATAAGTGAGCAAAAATATTTCCCTGAAAGTGGTGTGTCATGCGGATTTTGACCACCTGCGTAAATGAGTCCAGCTGACATACGACCAAACAATAGTGTTTGATGTGCCATCGGCATTTGGGCTATAACAAACCAAATTGAGTACACGGACAATTATCCCAGCCCAAATAGTGTGAACCTTTGCAGGAGAGAGAATCTAGGTTACCTTTATTTGCTGGGGCGGCGGCCGGGTTATTTCAATTTTTATTTTTTGCCCTTTTGGGGCTCTTTTTATTTTTTTATTTTTTTTGAGAAAGTTTTATTTATGTTATATTCACCAATGAAGTTTTTTTTTTTAAAAAAGTGAAAAAGGTGAAAAAGTGGGTGTTTCAGAAGCGCGTGCGTTTCTGTGCGTGTGTTTTGCCTCTATAGTTCAACAACGTTATAATGTGATGTGATTAAAACATCTGAGACGCTTTATCTTCTTCTGTGTGACTGTGTCTGTCTGCGTCTGTTTTTGTTTGTCGAGGTTTTAGACTTTGAAGAAAGAAGAGAGGTTCTGTGGGATTTCGAAGGAAGCATGGCTTCAACGGTGTTATTGGTTGTCGTTTTTGTATTTGATCTGATTGCTTTTGCGCTTGCTGTTGCTGCTGAGCAACGAAGGTCCAGTGTAAGTCTCTCTCTTGGAATTATTTCATATGGTTCTATATTTAGAAATTATAAACTATTCATGTTTTTTTTTTAATCTTCGTTGTAAATTTTCCATATTTTTTGTTATCAGATTTAGGGGGTTATTGCAGCCACACTTTGCTTTGGCCTTCAGACATAGAAAATAGCTGTCTTATTGCTATATTCATTGTCTGTCCATGGATATGGAAAAATTTGCGGGAAACATGAAACAGAGATTTTTAACCAAAATATGAAATGTGGTTAGGCGAGTTGGCTAGGGTAATATGCCCGCACCCTTGCATACGAGTTCAAATCTCCCTCCCTATAGATTAAAGTAGTGTAAAATATCGCCTTGTGAAAATGATATTAAATTTGTTGGTGAGGAGGAAATGATTTTGCTTTGGAGATAGATCCGGCGCAGACTTGCAATGGCTAATTAGTGTTTGATTAGAGGGTATGGTCTGAATCTGGGTAATTTTCAAACCCGAGAAATCCCATCAAACCGTAGGCTACAGAGGGAAATGTAGAAATTGCTTGTAAGTGCATACATCTGTGATTTAGTTTATTAGAATGTGAATTTTCTAATAAATCTTAAGTTGGGATTCACAAAAGCCAGAGAAAGGAGATAAATCTCATAAGATGTGTGCATCCTCAACGTTCTACAAGAATTGCAGTGAGGGATAGTTCACTTTTAAATTTTCAGTACGGCATAAACACGAACTAGGAGGAAACACACTCTAATAGTTTAAATTATTAGCATCAAACTGGTTTCTCCTACAATTGGAACATTGTTAGTTGAAGTAATTGAGTAACTTCAGTCTAACTGGAGCGCATGTAAGATTTCCTATGCGTGGTCGGGTTGTAATTCATCTATTATTCTCCCTTGCAGGCCAAGATTCAAACTCTAGCAAATTCCAGCTATTGTGTATATGATTCTGACATTGCAACTGGCTTAGGTGTGGGGTCGTTTCTGTTCCTGTTGGCAAGTCAAGTTCTTATAATGGGGGTAAGTCGATGCTTGTGCTGTGGAAAGGCCTTGAGACCCAGCGGTTCTAGGTCATGGGCAATCATGCTCTTCATCACCTGCTGGTATGTGCTCTTATAATTTGGTCATGCTCAGAAATTATATTGGTTAATAATCTTTAGACTTTCACAAGATCATAACCGGACGATTAATCTTAACCCTGCTTACTGGCATCACATTGAAACTTCAGGGTGTTTTTTCTTATTGCTGAGGCATGCCTTCTTGCGGGTTCGGTGAGAAACGCGTACCACACCAAGTACAGGACTGTGTTTATGAACGAAAAACTTTCATGTGAGACATTGAGGAAAGGAATCTTTGGGGCTGGCGCTGCCTTTGTCGTCTTCACGGGGATATTCTCCGAGCTTTATTATGTTAGCTATTCCAGGGCTAACGAACTGGAGACTCCCTATAGCCGAGACACTGGCGTGAGGATGCAGAACCTTTAAAAACCAAGTTGAGGGAAGTGAGAGTGATCTTCTATTGTCAGATGTAGTTGGTTGATTAGCAACTGTCGTGCTCATCTTATGATGTATGTACTTGACTTAACAGAACGCATTATGATTGATTATTTTTTATTTATGTATGATATGGAGTTTAATTGGATGAGGATTTTACGCTATAAATTAATGTCTGGCATCGGACTATTTTGTCCTTGTCCCTCTCATAATCTCATTACAGCACTATCATTGGACTGGTGCTTTTGGAGCCATCCATCAATGACAATTTGCTTCAGAATTCTATTTGTATTCAAACTAATGGCTGTTTTTTTTAACCCTTAGATCTGAGATAAACCTACGTTTGAAGTATCTGTCTCAGAATTGTGGCCCCAACATGCACATGGTAGTCTCTAGAACTAGAGTGAGAAGATGAGAAGAGGAGGACCCCTTTGCAATGTGATCAAAGAAAGAGCTTTATGAAGGATCAAATAATATGAAACAGATTCACACATTTTTCAAGCATACTTTCCTATAAGAACATCAAAATTAATGTTTGGAAAATTACTTTACAACCCAAATTTTCTGTCGGGACTTGAAGCAAAGCATGATTCTGAACCAGTGGTCTTAAAATATGGGCAAATAAATCCATGTAATCTAATTCAGATATCCAAATATACATTACATATATATATCCACAAGAATCTTCCATCACATTCTCTTCTGTCTGTCTGTCAGCCCTGCTGTAGGAGACCCCATTTCCCTATCACAAAGCACGCACTCACACTCTATCAATTTTCATTCATATTGTAATAATGAACAAACTCAGGAACCTACTTTTACATACATAAAAATGGCACCTTCCATCAAGTTAATGGAAATGAAAGAGCCCTGGAAAGAGTTACAAATTCATGGACATCTTAATTCTTAAGAAGAAAAACCTTTTTAAAAAAAAAAAGAAGTAAAAAAGACAGCTTCAAACAGTCTACATCTCTCTGCATAAATTTCATAACTAGAAGAAATTATTTATCACCTGGTCAAGTAGAAACTGTGACAAACTGACAATGACAGTAAGAGAAGAAGGAGACTGTTTCCCCTGCCTCATGAACACATCCAATTCAAACAGAAACCTAATTCCTCTTATGGTTTTATATCAGAACCGTCCCAAGGCAGATTGAGATCAGTAGAAACAAGGGTTTCAATGTCTTCCCAGTTCCAGTCGTTTGAGTACACATCCATGGCGTTGCTTGAAGTGGGCACTTTCCAATTAGGCTGAGAAATGTTGGGCATGATGCTTGTAATGGTTGGCTCCTCAATGGCTTTGAATTGATCTTCCGCTGCCGCGGTGGCGTAGTTATAAACATTTGAGGATTGCAAAGATGTTGAGATGGAAGACAAGTTTGTGTCAAAGGAACTTGAAGTGGTGCTAATTGAGCTTGAGAAGGGAAAGCTCAAGTTTCTACTCTGATGAAGGAAAGGCAGAGTACTGGCACTCAAACCCGGTGATGATGAGGACGAAAAGATGATAGTATTATCCAAATTCTGTTGAGGCAGCGCCTGATAGAAAACTTGAGACATGAGTTTCTGCTCTTGGTGATCTGTTTGATCAATTGCCGCACTGTTTGTGGTGGTTGTTGTGGCTGCAGCAGAGGCAGAAGTACTGTTTGATGATTTCTTGAGGCGCTTGTTTTTGCGGCCACCGCCAACAGGGACGTTCCGGAGAGTGCCGCCTTTGGTCCAATGCCGCTTGCAAGCTCTGCAGAAGTGCCTCGGCTGTTGCTTGTTGTAGTTGTTGTAGTAGCAGAACTTTGTGTTGGTAGATTCACACCTTGGGCACTTCAAAGGCTCAGGTTGTTGCTGTTGTTGCCTCCTCATGGCAGAAGGTGATTTTGGGAGCTGAAAAGTCTGAGCTTGCAACAAGCTGGCCTGGCTCCAATCGAGCCCATCACTAGAAACTTGCTTGGTACTCAAACCCATCTCCCCAAACACCCTCAAAACCTGAAACCACAAAGATTAAGATCGACCCTGCAAGTAAAGATGAAGATGAAGATGTATGTCTAGCCCTTGAAACGAGGGACGCGAAGAAGAGAAAGAAATCTGAAGAAGAGGAAGAGGATGGGGTTGATGTTGTTTATAAGCAAAAGGGTACCGAGTTGATCAGAGGAAAGGGATGATTGTCTGGTTTTAATATCAGGTGCAATGAAATGCCTTGGAAGCTGATGAGAAGCGAGCATGTCTTTCAGTCTCCTTATCTTAATAATTTTAAGCTCTCTATATATAATATATTTTATATTTAACTATGTATACTATATCTATGAATGTGAATTGATAATTTGTAACAAGAAGAATAAAAAGATATGATGGATGATCGAAAATTTCTGAGAAAAGCTTTGTATGGTCCAGGATAGCGTGTGATTGATAGAGGTGGGGTTTTGGTACTGGTGGGTGGTGGCAACCCTATAAAAATTATGCAACTTAGGTGACAATCAATAGTGCCATGCTCTTCCTTACTCAGCACAATTTTATAGAAGAAAACAATTCTAGTACTGTAAGTAATAAGAGAAACAACGTGGACTAGAAGGAGAGGGGGAGAGAGAGAGAGAGAGAGAGAGAATTACTTAACCCCGAAGGTGAAGGTGGGTTGTTGACATGTGGCTGCTTCAACGCCATCGATAGTGCTCTATATGTTGGCGATGTAAAAAGAACATATACCACGCAGCTAGGCAATACATAATTATAATAATTTGAACCATTTTTGACAAATGATATAGAAATTTATTAAATCAACGGAGAACAAAGAGGAGAAAATGTAAAGGATTAGGAGATGAAGGAAAATGTGTCACGCGATGAGCGATGAATATCGATCATATTTGTTTCCCCAAAATTAAACTTGATCCTCTAGATAATATTGTGTTCGGCAAATACCATTAACAACAATCATTTTAGAAAATTTGGCCATCAACGTATGAGCATGTAAAGGAATAAAAGTACACTACGGTCCACGGACTAGTTAGCTCTCGTCTTCGTCAATCAAGTGTTTGTTTATATAGAGGGGTGGCGGGTAGACCCCAGTTTTGTAGGGCTTAAAGTGAACACTTGAGCATCACGTGGTCACAAATGGACGGTTTTGATGATCCTATGGCCCTATGGACATGTGATTACATGTTGTAGATAGGTTGGCGTTATGTCTTCATATATATCACATCCATGCACCATGCAGTTCTGCAATGTAGCCAGAACCCCAAGGGGTTGTGTTATTTTGTGGCCCTAGGATTTTGTTTCCCCTCTTATAATTTTTCATTTTTTTCGGAAATAAAATTGGAACGTTACAAAGAAAATTAACATGATTGTTACGCGCAAGATTACATTAAGAACAATACGAGAGTTTTCATAAGAATATGTTGGAGTTGGCCGTCAAACAAATAGGACCACGAGAGCCACGTGCATGTATGTAGTTAAGGCACCACAGGAAGTCCTTAATTAAATAATTTGAAGCAAATCCCATCTTTGTTAGAAGTTGATCAAAGATCAAAAGACAGAGTGTGAAAGGAATTGAAATGAAACTTCTTCACATCGAATGGGTTGGTTAGGTAGAGGTTCTTGTTGTATAGTATTAGTAGTCGCCTTCCACACACATATTTTATTATAATCCAAAAGGAGACGACAGACTATATGTCGTAAACGAGTTAAAACTTTTATAATAAATAAATAAATATGCAAATTAATGCAAATTAAGCAACAAGAAAAGTTTTAATAAGTTAACCAAAGAAACGAAGCCATCATACCACATTCGTACTTGAATATTAACAATTTAATCAATCTCACTGACCAAATGAAGAATTGCAAAAAAAAGCTTAAAATATGTGAAACGCATGCCATTGCCAACGCCTTGGTGGCTCGTTTTATTGTTTACTATTGTTGTCACAAAATTAAGTTATATTTTCCATGGGGGGGAGGAAGAACTAGGAAGGGGTCCAAAGATGATTGCTCCACGTGTCGCGATATAATGGGTTTGAAGGGGACCCAGAGTTGGACCGGGAGTGCAATTGATGATGGTCCCAAGGGGAAACGTGGATCCAAGTGTTTAGGGTTTGTGCATGCAACATTAATTATGGTCACTTTGATTAATTTGACTTATTATTAACAAGTTGTTGTTAGCTAGTCAGCAATCATAAACATCATTTTCAAATTTCGATTCCCTGATGCTGCATTTGAGAGAAGTCTTGTGATTGAACTTTGTACTTGATTTTTGAGTTGATTTTAACACCCGGAACTAATTCGCGCGTGTGAACAACTGATTGACTGATGATACCTCCATATTGAGAGAGGAGGAAGAGAATTCGTAGGTCAAGAAAGCAATTGTGACACACAAGAAATGGGGTGTGGAATATTAAGCTGGACAGTAGACATGGGGCCTAGTCGGCTTAGATCTAATAATCTTTTTTATAGTGGTAGAGTAGAGGGAGGTGATGGTGGGTCCATTATTTGTTTATCGTATGCATGGAATGGAAGGATGGAAGTAAAACATAATATAATTGTTTCAAGTGTAGTAGTCAAGACTGAAATTAGGCTGGCTTCGTCATGCACAATTATAATAATTTGGATTATCTTATCAATAATCGAGCAACTAAAAACCCTAGACTGATATTAGGCTTTGTTTGGCAGCCCCTTCAACCATGTCTGCCAGCAAATTGTCACATGTGACTTTTGAGTTTCATCACTTTTGCCTAATGCTCTTGTAGTTCAAATCTAATCATAATATCAATTCTACCCTCCTAGAACCCACAACTACCAAATCTATATTTATCAAATGCGACAGTTTTTTTCTTCTTTTTATACAAGCAATGTTAAAGGAAGAGAGAATCGGATACCAAATCTCGAGTGTAAAGAGTAACTAATTTTTACCATTTGAGCTACAAACTCCTTGCGTACTAAATACGACAATTACATGAACTCATTTCTTAGTGGCGAAGAAGATGCATGAAACACAGAGGTGATCTTCCTGACTATGTTCACTTTAGAATCTTACTTTTCTTTTTCTCTTTTAGGCTTTTGGCAATGGGATCCTTTAGAGCACACAGGGAACGAATCCTCTACAAAATGCGAAAGACAAATTTTATGTCACCACTCGACCTTTACAATCTGCCAAGGCCCTCCTCTCTCTCTCTCTCTCTCTCTCTCTCTCTCAATATTATAACATTAGTCGTATAGATGTGGGCCCACGCTGAAGCATGCGCGCAACCATTAGGTATCTTGGATGCCCATAAGGTTTTTTTAGGACAAGGTCTGCAAGCAAATGAACAAAAGGCGTCCTTGATACTACTCATGAATGTATAAATTAAGACAAGGCCAAAGGGGAACAAAAGGCGGTTAATTATATATTATGTAGTTCATACAGTGAGCTGGGGTGAAGATAGATCATATCTAAATACAATCACAGAAGTACAACTAAGTCTCGACACACACTGGCACCAAAATCTTGTAAAATATCTCAACATCAGGGTGGCTTCCAGCAAAACTTAATGAGCTCGGCTCTCTCCTCCTAGAACTTGAAATCCTTCTTCTTGTTTTTCCCTTCCTTTTCCTGCATCTTACGTTTCCTCTTCTTCTCATTCTGCACCAAAAACATCTCATTAGAATTTGTCAAAACAAGCAACCGAATACAACCACTTCTTTATTTCTTGGATTCCTATATCTCTACACTAGTTCAAGGTTTACCTCCGCAACCATGTCACTGAAATCTTCCCGCTGACTTCGCAGCTTCTCTTCCTCCCTTGCTTCTTCATACCTGAGAAATACAAAATATGTCAAATTCACTGCTGCTAAGGTAATGGGAAAAAAGAATCAACATTCTCATGTTTTTTTTAACTTACTTTGCAGGCAAAACATTCTCCATAAGTTCCAATTCTTCAGGTTGTAAAGTGACATCCACTTTATCTGCTTTCTGACCTCTAAGCAGATCAACCTAAAGAAAGAAGCGACAAATGAATCAATACATAAGAAAGATAATTAAATAAAAAATTGGTGGCAAATACAAATTATACAAAGGTACCAATACATGTCACTAGCTTTCTTATAGAGCTTAATTAACATATTTGCCATTTTCTGACAGAAGTAGCACATCAAGCATATGCATTTCCCAATCAAATAATCCCCTCTTACACCCTCTAGATAGAGAGTTTCTTACCCTTTTGGCCCCTGCTTTGTCTTGGGTGCCACTACCAACAACATACCTGTACACAGAAAACATATGAAAAGAATGTTTAAAACAAATACAAATGGAAAAACAAAGAATAAACCGGGACTATTTAAAGCATAATGCGTACGTGTGTGTTGTTCCGAGCAGTGTCCCTGGAGCAATTTTTTCTTCTTTTTCTTCAAGTACCTTTACAAAATAAAATCAGAAGAATTAGAATAATAATAATAATAATAACAATCAACACATGCTAGGCAAAAGTCTCCAATCACTGAGCTTACTTGGTATAGAGGCCTTTCAGGTTCCTTTCTCTGCTGCTTACGGAGGTCAATGACATCAGGTGTCTCAACACCAGTGGGAGTACTGAGAAGGAGGTGAAAATTTTAGTAAAAAGAACAACTCAGATATTACATCTTTTTTCGTTGCAATCTTCAGTGGCAGAAAAACCAAAAAGAAGAAACTGGTTTTTGTGCTTAATAAAACCAACGTATTAACAAAACCAAATCCAGAAACAACAAAGATATATGCAACTGCACAAAGCATATTAAAACAAAAATAAAGAAGGGAAACAAAAGAAACATGATACCTTGAAAGGCTATCTACAGATTCAATACCATCCTGTAAATCTTCTTCCTCAAGTTGTTCTTCCTCTTCCTCTTCTTCTTCCTCCTCTTCCTCTTCCTCCAAATCACCCCAATGCTTTGTCTTATCAACAGGCTCTTCCTGAATTTTAGAAGATGTCATTGTAATATAATCAGAAGAGGTTATGGTCTAATGACAATTCAGTAAAAATATCTAAGCCAATCAGAATTATATTCCATATATTAATGAAGTCCACCTAGCACCGAAGTAAAGAAAGTTAGCATTAGTAAAAGCAGTTGATGTCTTATGAACACCTAATGGCCACCTTGAAACTCTTGGCATCTAAAGGCGGTGTGAAAATAGAAATTTCAAGACAAAGTGTAGTGATCCAAATCACAAGCTGTACCTCATAATTAGGCTGATCTTGTTGCTGAACACCAAAAACATCTCCATACAACGGTTGCCCATACTAAACAATGAAAGACAAGTTAAATAGTTACAAAACCAATAGCTATATAAAGTAGTTTGAATTAAAACAAAACAAAAAACAAAAATACCAAGCAGTTAAAAACTCACTTCATCAACAGGAGGCTTTCCCCAGCCACCAGCATGGTAACCAAAGCTAGCTCCAGGGGGGATAGGCGCATTCAGCCCGGGGATTTTCAGATGTGGATATGATGGTGGAGGACCATATCTCTGGAAGAAAAAATTCAACAATACCCAACATTAATAAACGTTTGCATACACCA